TTAAATTTGCCCCATCAAAAAAAGAGGCAGGGCCGGACTGATAGTACAGTTGGTAGGGCATTTGTCTTGCTCTTGGCTAACCTGGGTTCGATTCCCATAAGGCCCTTGAACCCGCCAGAAGTGATCCCTGAGCACAGAGTCAAGAGCGACTTCTTTCTTTTTTTTTTTTTCTTTTTTGGGTCACACCCGGTGATGCACAGGAGTTACTCATTCACTCAGGAATTACTCCTGGCGGTGCTCGGGGGGACCATATGGGATGCTGGGAATCGAACCTGGGTTGGCTGCGTGCAAGGCAAACACCCTACCCACTGTGCTATAATTCCAGATCCACCAGGAGCAACTTATGAATATCATCAGGTATGGTATAAAATCAGAGAGAGAGAGAGAGAGAGAGAGATCTTCCCTATAAAAATGTGCTAATTGTTAGAAGTCCCAAGGTTTGCTCTATTCTGTTCCATTTTCCTCTTATTCCTCTGTGAATACCTAAGGTTATATCAACAAATGATGATAAGAATAGGGTTGGGGCAATAGTAAAGTGAGTAGGGCACTCTCCTTGCAAGCAACCTACTCAGGACACCCCTTATGGCCTCCTGAGCCTGCCAGGAGCAGAGCCAGGAGTAAGCCCTGAGCATCGCCAGGTGCTGCCCAAAACCAAAACCAAAATGAAGAAATTATAAGAAATGAAGTCCTAAAACTTTCCAATTAATCAAGTCTCCACCCAGTCATGAAATCTCTTCCTGAGAAAAAATTGCATTCCATTTTCTCATTAATTTCAGTGAGCATCCCCAGGATTTGCAGTTTTTGTGTTCTTGTGTCAGTTCCGTGATAGATTATCAGTGACCTGACACTCAGGCTATCAGTATGGAAAGTTAGGCTGAGTCTTTTACAAAATGCATGACATGAAATTTATTAATTTGTAATATAAAGAGCTTTGTAGTGATGATAGCAATTCTTAGGGTTTTTTCCTCTCTTCTTTTCTTCTTTCTTTCCTTCCTTCTTTCTCTTTCTTCTTTCTTTCTTTCTTTCTTTCTTTCTTTCTTTCTTTCTTTCTTTCTTTCTTCTCTCTTATTTCTTTTTCTTTTTTTCTGATTTTCCTTCCTTTCTTCCCTTCTCTCTCTTCTTTTTGTTTTTTTTCTGGGGGGCTCACCCAGCAGTGCTCAGAGCTTACTCCTGGCTCTGTGCTCCAGCAGTGCTGGAGGTGCTCATGGGAAGTGTATGTGGTGCCTGGGGTTAAACCCAGGTTGGTAAGGCATGCACCTTACTTTCAGCGCTATCTCTCCCACCCTGTCCTTTATTTTTTAAAGAAAACATCTTTCTTTTGGTCATTATTTAGCTTTTTTTTTCTGCTTTAGACCATTGTCAGTTCAGATTAAAAATGGGTATTATTGGGTCATGATCTGATCAGGGTGTGCTTCAAAGGACAATTTAATCAAATTCTTTTGATGTAGTCTTTAAATTCAGTTATTTAAATGAATCTTTACTCCCTGTGAGACTGAACCCTCTAAAGAATTTAATTGTCAGTATGGGGTAAAAGTGCCACTGGGGGGGGGGGGGTGGGAGATAAACCAGCACAGCGGGGAGGGTGTTTGCTTTGCACGCAGCTGACCCAGGTTCAATTCCCAGCATCCCATATGGTCCCCTGAGCACCGTCAGGAGTAATTCCTGAGTGCATGAACCAGGAGTAACTCCTTTGCATCGCCGGGTGTGACCCAAAAATTAAAGAGGGCCAGAAAGGTGGTCCAGGGGGGTTGGTGCTCGCTGGCCCTGCACACAGCTGGGGAGCGCTTGTGCTCTGGCACAGGCTACGGTCCCCTGACCACCACCAGCAGTGACCCCTGGGTATAAAGCCAGGCATGAACCCCAGGCGCTACTGGTTCTGTCCCTCCCCCCCCCAAAAAAAAACCCTGATTATTTACACTTTCCTTCATTTATTATCTGCAAGATGTAATTATGTAAGTGAAAATTAAATATCCCCCTTTGGGGGGCTTTGGGGCCACACCCTGCTGTTTTCAGGGCTTACTCCTGGCTCTGTGCTCAGGTATTGCTCCAGGCAGGCCTCAGGAACCGTATGTCGTGGAAGAGATGGAGCCTGGATGGGCCACGGTGAGACAGTTCCCTGACCTCACCTTGCTACCTCACCTGCCGCCAACTCTCTTATTTTACAAGTTCTGAAAGTTGATCTCTTGCTCATCAATAACTGAACATGTTTTCTGCCTTTTTCCTAGAATAAACTATTCATTTGGAACATCCAAGAAATCATGCAAGTTTCTTTCTTTCTTTCTTTCTTTTTTTTTAGTCCATATTGGTGCACAAGCAGAGTTAGGACCCTTAAGGAGAATCCCAAATGCAGATGAAGTTTAAGGGTTACAGCCATGTGGAAAATGGAACACTGGAAAGCGATGGCCTTCTCCCAACCATGGTCATCGGTCTGGGAAGGCACCGCAACTTCTTGATTTAAGCTAAAAGCTTGCAAAGGATCACTCCATTCACCTTTATACTGTCTGATATTCTTCTAAGCTTAATGTTCTACTTTAAAGTTAATTTTGGAAGATAATTTGGTTTTGAAATGTTGCTTGATATCCCATTAATAAGAATATTTCATTAGCAGCACAAACTTCATTCTGAATCCTACCAGGTACTTGTTAGCTGTGGTTATAGATCTGATTTATTCTGGATCAAAGTTTGCTTTGACTCATAGACAGCCTGCAGACCTGCTTTTTCCCCTACTCAACTGTGTTAGATGTGAAATTATTTTGCTGGTTAGGATTTTAATAAGTGGACTTAGTCTCACAAATAATATTTATATATTCATAAAGTATTCATCTATCAACCATCTCTCTTTTTCAAAGCCCAGAGTATATAGACTGGTAATTTTTTTTCTGTCCCTTACTCACTCCGCTTTCTCATCATTCACCAATGTTTAGCTATTTAACTGCATTTGTTGAAGTTAGTCATTCTCTGTTATTAGAATAATCAGTGGATTTACGTGGGAAACCTAATTTTTAAAAACATCCTTTTTTTGTAATTCTATCAATTTTGAATCTTTTTGTTTTTATTGGGTCGCCAATACTTTGGGGTTTCTAGTTCTTTTAGTTCTTCTTGGTTTTCCAGTTCTTTGTTTCACATCATTTGGCCTCAAATTCCACCATGCTTTCAAAAAATGTGCCAAAGACTCTGTTTATGCAACTGACTTCTCTTTATGGCACCAAATATTTCATCTTTTCATTCAAAAAACTCCTTTGCAAGAAACTGGATGTTTATCTGCTTTGGACTGATTAATCACTGAGTCAGATGGATTCATAGAAGAACATTAGGTCCTTAAGTGTCCAAAATATTACAAAGCAAATGCTAACTAACTTCTGGAGGGAAAGGTTATGAAATAATTTTTATAAAAAGAATTCCTCAAAGATAAAGTCATGAAATTTACACACAAGTGGTACTACATGGAAAGTATCATGCTAAGCGAAATGAGTCCGAAAGAGAGGGATAGACATAGAAAGATTGCATTCATCTGGGGGATATAAAGTAACAAAATAGGAGATTAATACCCAAGAATAGCCAAGATAAGTACCAGGAGGTTTACTCCATAGCTTAGAGGCCAGGTGGGCATTCTAGGGAACTGGGCAGCTCAGATAGAGAAGGGAGCACCAAATAAATGGTGTTTGGTGCGTTAATCTAGGCCATCATGTCTGCCCGGAGGGGAAAGGGTGTTGCTCCCTTCTGCCCTCCTCCCTCTGGAAAGAAAGATGGCGGCCACATGGGAGCCTTGTGGACAGCAGGTATGAGCCTGTGGTGTGGGGGCGACTAAAACCTCATGGGAAGGGGGGCGTTCCGGTCCATCCTTCACGCCCTACCGAGGTCACCAGTTGCCCCCCGCGAGCGGCTCTCCAGCACGGCCACGGCCCCAGAAGCACAAGGACTTAATGCAGAACCCAGCAGCTTGGAGCAGAAAAGTGAATGGACTATGCATTAATCCAGGCCATCATGTCTGTCCGGAGGGGAAAGGGTGTTGCCCCAGTCACCCTCTCCTCTCTGGAAAGAAAGATGGCAGCCGCATGGGAGCCTTGTGGACAGCAGGTATGAGCCTGTGGTGTGGGGGCAACTAAAACCTCATGGGAAGGGGGGCATTTCGGTCCGCCCTTCACGCCCTACTGAGGACACTAGTTGCCCCCCATTAGCGGCTCTCCAGCACGGCCACGACTCCAGAGCACAGAAACCAATTTCTTAACTATCTGACTTTCAGTAGAAATACTTCCAGGGTCAATAAGTAAAATAGCAGAAATCCAAAACCAACATTTAATTCTTGAACCCAGCTGTAGAAAGCAAATCACTTCACAATGCTTTTTCAGCATGTCTGATTGGGGGGGGGGGGTAAACTCTAAATAATAGTGGTGAATCTTTTATTGAAACAATGAATCTAATAAAAGCCGATAGAGTGTTAACTAGAATTCATCTGCCTCACAGGGACTGGGAGGGGTGGGGGGTGGGTTTTTATTGGGTTCTTCATGGTAAAAAATAAGCATTGGTAAAGGGAAATGTGTTTGATATTTGCATGACTGAGACCTAAACCTGAAAGCTTTGTAACCTTTCCCACGGTGATTCAATAAATAAATAAATAAATAAAAATAAAGGGTGTTTGGAGGATTCTCCCAGGAGGGGAGATGCATGTTGAAAGTAGACTACAGACCAAACATGATTGCCACTCAATGCCTCTTTTGCAGACCACAACACCCAAAAGGAGAGAGAGAACAAAAGGGAATGCCCTGCCACGGAGGCAGGGTGGGATGGGGGATGGGTGTGGGAGGGATACTGGGATCCATGGTGGTGGAAAGGGCACTGGTGGAGGGATGGGTACTCGATCATTGTATAATTGAAACCCAAGCACAAAAATTTGTAAGTCTACAACTGTATCTCATGGGATTTCACTAATAAAAATTTAAAAAAAAAAAGAATTCCTCTTCATGGTTACTTTTTCCTAACCAAGCGTGTTTCTCCCCTAGGAACTGGTGTGCTTATGTACACACTCGATTGTCTCCTACGGTGGTACTGGATCACCAGGTCACACATGTTCCAAGTGGAAAAGCACCTTGTGGCTGGCTCAGAGGCTCCTGCCCTCAGAGGTAAATATTTTTCTTGGAAATAATCACTGCTTTCACCATAACCATATATGACCTATGATATAGTAAATTAATCACCCCCGGTTACATATGCATGGTAAGGTCAGAGGAAGGTCACCCTATCAAACTAGATGAGTGATCTTGAGAAAGTTAAAGACAGACACTAACAACACTAATGATACACATGGTAGGTTTTAGAATATGTAATAAAGCAGTAATCTACTTAGCCTGGTGCCTGGGACTTATGTGAGTCTTCAATAAATGTCAACCTTCATGCTTGTTTTTACTTTTACTATTATAATTACTCCTATCCTGTAACCTAATCAGCCATCCTTTCCTTTAATTCACTGTGAAATTTATACAGAGTCTTAAAATCTTATTAATGACTTCTTTTTTTGTGGGCATAGGCTATGCTATAGCACAGAGAGAAACCCGTAACAAAACAAGGCTCTAATTGCAGTTATGCATGGGAAAGCATTTGAGTGGAATTTTTCTTCTAATGTCTATTTTAATTGCTTCTCGTGGCTTTCATTTCTTTAAAAAATCCTCCATAATTATCCTGGACTATATGATTTAGCAATTGATAAATTCTCTGAATATATTCACTGTAGCTCAGCGAGGGACAGATGCTGATTCAAAAGAAGCTTAAATAAAAACTAAAATTGTTATTCAGGACATGATGTGGATATTAAGCAAATTGTCAGACAGAAAAAGCCCGGCAGTGAATCTGACACCTTGGCAGCCCAGAACAGTGTGCAGTAAGGCTACCTTCAATCCAGGTGTTTTGTTATCTTTGAGGGATAAGTAAGGAGCGTGGTCCAGAGATATAAGCACAGCCCAGGGCTTAGGGAGACCTGATCCTCACTTCCCTTTTTTTCATTTACTCCCTTTGGGACAATTTCCTTGTGGACACATGACACAAGGAACGAATTCTTAATTTTTCAGTCATGAAACGTTTCTCGATTACAATTTCTGACCTTCTGGATTCAAGGCGAGCTTTCGTTTTCTTCAAGCAGTTCAGAATTGTATGTCTTCTATTCTCATCTTTTAACCTCTTTTTATATGGGTCTCTTCATTCAGTCACTTTCTCAGTGCTTAAGCAGTATGTCATCTTTTATTCTATCTGGTGTCCAAGCCACATATACCACATATAAAAAAAAAGCAGCTTATCTTTAGCTACTTGAGTTGAGATGATATTTTACGGACAGAGCTATTTATTGAATATAATGGACCGAAAAGAAATGAAAACCACGAAAAGCAAACCACATATAAATGGTTAGCCTACTCTTAGAGTTGGAAGGAATTGGATAGCTCATTTTTTTTTTTTTGCCTTTTGGGTCACACCCAGTGATGCACAGGGGTTACTCCTGGCTCTGCACTCAGGAATCACCCCTGGCGGTGCTCAGGAGACCATATGGGATGCTGGGAATCAAACCCAAGTTGGCCGCGTGCAAGGCAAACACCCTACCCACTGTGCTATTGCTCCAGCCCCAGCTCATCTTTTTTTTTTTTATCTAGGAGTAACCTCACACATACTTACACATCAAGTTAAAGAAGATAAAATCCAGATATCCTTAAGTCTAGTCTATGATAATGCATTTTCTTCTCACAATAAACAATCCTAGTCATGAAGCACTGCACTGCTTTCTCCACTTAAGTGTATGTGACAAATCCTAAGATAAAAATAAAGATTAACCCACAGAGTATGTATTAAAACATCATATCTACCACTTTTAAGAGTACCTAAGTATTTTCATCTTTCTGTTTCTCACTCCTAAACAACAAATCAGCACTATGATTATAACTTCTTGATGGAACTAATATGAGAATTATAAAGATAATACCTACCCATTCCATATTAGCTAAGAATTAAAGTCACGGGTATAAAAATAATATGGTCCAATATGTTTACAATTTAAAGCATATACCCGGTCTGCAATTTAGCAGATGCACTACTTGTCATAAAGTTTTACCTTCAGAATTTAATATTTTCATTTACCTTTTATGGTTTCTCTCCTGAAATAATATTTTCTCAGATCTCTCTCTCTCTCCCTCCCTCCATCCCTCCCTCCCTTTCCCTTTTTCACCCTCCTCTCTTTCTCTCCCTGAGAAATACTATATGAAATCATATGTAGTATCATTTTACAACTTGGGAGAGAAAGAAATGCAGATTGAAAATGATAGGTTATCTTCGTTTCAATTAGAATCATTGATAAGTGATTTGTTTTAAGTTGTTTGGTACCGAATTGGATAAAAAGCAGGTCTATAAAGATTACCATTAGGGTATAAGAAAATATTGAGAATCAAAGCAAAAACTTTATCCTTGCTAACTATTTCAATGTTGAAATTAAAACACCTTTTAATATTCGCTTAGTGAAAAGCATTATAAAGAGAAAAGCTACAATATCATTAGAAAATATGACAGGTAAAGTTACAAAATCCAAAAGTATAAAGACATAAAATCCCTAATTTTTTAAATATATTTAGGGGGCCGGAGTGATAGCACAGCGGGTAGGGCATTTGCCTTGCATGCAGCAGACCTGGGTTCAATTCCCAGCATCCCATATGGTCCCCCAACACCGCCAGAAGTAATTCCTGAGTGCAGAGCCAGGAGTAACCCCTGAGCATCGCTGGGTGTGACCCAAAAAGGAAAATATATATATATATATATATTTATACATATATATTTAAAGGAATTTAAGTTTAATAGTAATATAAATGAAAGTCATATCATCATCATAAGAGATATACTTTCTATTTATTATATTTCAGGCATCTCCCCAATTACTTTAAGTTAATGAGAGACAGTTTTCCAGTCCCTCCCCTGAATTTCTCTCGTCTCTAGATCTCAGGTCTCGAGTCCTGTCTATAAGATGCAACATAAAATCGTCACCTCATTGGAATGGAAGTGCTGCCCGGGTTTCAGTGGTCACAACTGTCAGATGAAAGGTATGTGCTGACTAATGTCATAATCATAATCAAAACTACGAAACTTCTAAAGAAGGAAAAATTGACTTCAGAGAAGAAATAAATGCATGTTCTCTTTTGAAGTAAGGTTCACGAACATGCCACCAAACTATTGGAACTGTTAACTTTTTGAAAGGTTCTTATTTGCCGTTATAGCCCCCTAAAATCCTACACACTGTTCTCTGATTTCTTCCACTTTTTTGTTGGTTTTATATGAGCAAATGGAGATATGACTATTATCATTTTTGTTCTAATGTTTTGTTCTAGAGATACGTCTTATTAAGATGTCAAAATCTTAATTGCATATTTTTAATTATCATGAGAAGTAACCCTTTGCAAAAATAAGACTACCGTCTAGATTTTTCTCCAGTTCAATTATTTGAAATATTATGCCTATGAGTGCAATTCAACATTAAAGAATATATAAATGGCGCATGAATAATTCTGCTTTCTAAAAATATTGTAATAGAGCCATCATTTCTACCAAGATTTTAAGGTTTTCTGTTCACAAGACTGATCAAATACATGGTAACCCACTGCGCCCTAACATCCATGTGACTATTATTTTTCTTTTGACTTTAAACAGGTTTCCTTTGAAAAATAAGATATGGCATCAGCATACATCTTAAATGAATGAATATTACAAGAAAGTCCATTAGCAGTGGTGGGGAATTCAATCAGCAGTGAAAGAGACTGTGATTAAAAATTAATGTCAGTGTGAAGAAACCATTATGATTCACATTAAGAAAAAGAAAATTGTAATACCAAACCTCCAGGAACCTTGAGGCTCAGTAAGGGAAATTATATATGGTTCTTCCAGCTTATTCAATGCAAATCTGTAGGATAATTACACTGCAATGTTATTTGCTTTGAGTATGGCCTAAATCTCAGAGATGTTATAAAACTTTAGTAGATTTCAGAGTGTCACATGGTTATGTACTAGATAATCAGCTAAACAATTACACACAATATCTATGCCGAAAATATCTAGAACAAGGTAAATTGGCATATTCCCCTAAAAATGTAAATATGATCTTTCCTTCAAAGCACATTTGGTTTTCATGAGGTACACAGATATAACCACAGGGTAAAGCATGTTTATTTCTAGTCTTTCTAGCAGTTAAATTTTCTGATGATATTTAGAATAATCCGTCTGAAGCATAAGATTAGTTTTTACATTCATCTTTTAGCATAAAGGGCTACCTTAGAAAGATGAACTTCATTCTATTTTTAAGATATTTAAGTGCCTGCTTTCCAGAAATTTAAAATGTTATCATGTACTCAATTCCATATAAAGGGCTGAATGAAACATGTGAAGGGGCAAAGCACATCATGAGTTCATGCCGTATGTTTTGACCTTTTTACCCACTGATTAATTATTGATCTCTGCAGTGATAGATACGTGTAAATGAGGGGGGTAGAGGGCCATGACAAATTTCATTAAAATGAAAGAAACAAGGAACAAGAGTCGTTGATGGTTTTGACGATCTACTGTGTGCTTCCCCCTCCCCCCTTCTTCCAGGTATTAAATGAAATACTTAAGTGGAGTCCAAATAGCCTGGCTTTGATTGTTTAATGTTCTAATTGTGTTCTAATTGGAAACAACCTGCGGGTATCCTTGATGTCAGATTTATGACTCATTATCTTAACTCTTTGGTTCTGGTTTTGGACAAACTGGCGAGCTACCGAGTGTAACCTGCTCACACGTCAGTCTGGCAAACTCCCCGTGGCGTACCCAATATGCCAAATACCAGTAACAATGATGGGTCTCATTCTCCTAACCCTGAAAGAGCCTTGAATATGGCACTTTTTTAAAAAAAATCTCAGGGCTAGGATGAAGGAGACGTTACTGGGGCCTGCTCGAGGCAATCGACGAATAGCAGGATGGTCGTGATCGTGATCTTAACTCTTTATTAACAAAAGTGCCCCCCAAATGGTTATGCCCTCTGTCAAGATGCTCTAATCAGAACTAGCCGTCGATGACTTGTCTTCTGATTAGACTGCTGTGAAGATGTGCTTATCCTCTTGAGACGTGGGGAAGGAAAAATTTCCAGATCGTCTCCCATCAGAAACACCCTCCTTGTACCCGCTGTGGTACATTCAGTTCCAGTACAGCTGTGACTCCTCCAGGGATGACTGTTGTTTCCTGTACGAGTCTGACCATCCTACTTTTCATCTTTATGACAGTGCACGAAAGCTGTTGAATTTTTTATTAGTCCGATTGCTACCCTGGTGGCATCAATAGCCATTGTGTCCCTTTGTCCCTGAGACTTTTATTATTCTTTTGTCTATTCTGTGTATTTTGTGTGTGTGTGTTGGGTGGGGGGAGGGTTACACATTCTTTTCCTTTCTAATTCATACTCAATCACAAGTCAAGTCTCTTTTTTCCTTCTTCTTCTTCTTCTTCTTCTTCTTCTTCTTCTTCTTCTTCTTCTTCTTCTTCTTCTTCTTCTTCTTCTTCTTCTTCTTCTCCTCCTCCTGCTCCTCCTCCTCCTCCTCCTCCTCCTCCTTCTTCTTCTTCTTCTTCTTCTTCTTCTTCTTCTTCTTCTTCTTCTTCTTCTTCTTCTTCTTCTTCTTCTTCTTTTCCTTCTCCTCCTCCTCCTCCTCCTCCTTCTCCTCCTCCTCCTCCTCCTCCTCCTCCTCCTCCTCCTCCTCCTCCTCCTCCTTCTCCTTCTTCTCACTTTATACTGCACAAGTCTTTTAATCTCTTGAAAAAAATTGCCAGGTTTTCTGTGACATCACATTCTATACCGTATCATGTGACAATCACCCCAAATATGGCAGGAATAATCATTGTGATTGATAAACTCTTTAAACCTCATCTGAATCCTCACAAGATTTTAAATGACCTGGATTTATAGCTACCAGGACAGCAACTTCAATACTCATCCCTTACAACATTGGGACATGATTTTATTCACAGAACATTTAGAAAACGTGATGTTTCAAACCCGGATTTCTACAAGTTTCCTTGCAACATATTTTCACCATAAGATAAATATGCTACCAACAGGATGACAGTGATATAGTGATACAATGATATTGACAATGCATATCAATGCCTGGAGCGATAGCACAGCGGGTAGGGTGTTTGACTTGCACGTGGCTCACCCGGGTTCGATTCTCCCATCCCTCTAGGAGAGCCTGGCAAGCTATGAAGAGTACCCCGCCCGCATGGCAGAGCGTGACAAGCTCCCTGTGGCGTATTCAATATGCCAAAAACAGTAGCAAGTCTCACAATGGAGACATTACTGGTGCCCGCTCGAGCAAATCGACGAACAATGGGAGGACAGTGCTACAGTGCAACTCATTTTTGATATGAAATTCAAGACATTTTTAGAAATGCCAGTCGCAACATACTTCTGGTATGCTTTATAAAATTTGCAATAATGTACTTTTCCAGTAGATGTCTCTAAAATGTTCTGAAATAGATCAAGGAAATTTGTGGTTTGCACCACTGGCATCTCAGTTCAAATCATATTATATTAGAGAAGAATAAAAAAACCTTGTCAGCAAATTTATTTTAGAATATTCAGTCAGTTTTAGTCAGATTCTACATATCAGAAAGATCATATGATGTGGTCCAAACCAAAGGGGAAAAAGAAAGGATTATTCTTAAAAATCTGATATGAACAAAAGTTATAACATTCTAAATGGAGAAAAATCTATTTCTATTTTTTTTCTTTTTGGGTCACACCTGGCGATGCACAGGGGTTACTCCTGGCTCTACACTCAGAAATTATCCCTGGTGGTGCTTGGGGGACCATATGGGATGCTGGGAATTGAACCTGGGTTGGCCGTGTGTAAGGCAAACACCCTACCAGCTGTGCTATTGCTCCAGCCCCAGAAAAGCTATTTCTTATATTTATTTCCAGGAGGGACTAATATTCTCCATTTTGAGTTACAACCTTACCTCTTAGAAGCATGTGAATCAGTATAATTACAATGCAGTTAGCTTAAGAAAAGCAAAAGGAATCACCTTCAGTCCCTGGGAAGCACCCAACTTTCTTCTTTGATGTAAGAGTTAAATCTTAGTGACCCTTTACGTTTGTGCTGACTATCCCCTTGGAATTGTAGCGGGAAACGCGTCTATCCCACTCACCCAGGAAGGTGTCTAAAGGCAGCCAGGTGCTTCTTCACTTCTGAGCTGCCATTAATTACTTCTATAGGCTTCAAGGGCCTGGAGTGAAAATCGCAGATAGTACCCGGGTAATTGAGAGAAACAGAAACAGGGGCGTGGCAGGACTCTGCTTCCTCCGCTTGCTGCTCTTGGAACCCCATTTCCATCATCTGTAGGGCAGGGAAGAGTAGGGGAAATGTGTCGGGGATATTGGGGTAGGGGGAGATCAAAAAATACACAATTTAATATATTGCATTTAAAAAAATCTAAAGTGCAAATAGATACTTCAAAGTTTTGGGGTTTTTCCCCCTTTTTTTAAATTAATTTTATTGAATCACTGTGAGATAGTTATAAACTTTCATGCTTAGGTTACAATCACACAATGATCAAACACCCATCCCTCCACAAGTGCACATTCCCCACCACCAATATTCCTGGTATACCCCCCTTTCCCACCCTCCCCCTGCCTCCATGGCAGACAATATTCTCCATACTCTTGCTCAACTTTTGGTCATTATGGTTTGCAATACAGACCCTGAGAGGTTATCATGTTTGGCCCATTTTCTACTTTCTGCACACATCTCCCATCCCGACCGATTCCTCCAGCCATCATTTTCTTAGTGATCCCTTCTCTATTCCAGCTGCCTTCTCCCCTCTGCTCATGAGGCCGGCTTCCAGCTATGGAGCAATCTATCTGTCCCATGTATCTACTGTCCTTAGGACTCAGCCTCATGTTATGTTGATAGATACTTCAAAGTTTTTCACTTAAAGAAACACCTCCTTCTGGATTACTCCATGGCTTAGAGGCCAGCTGGGCATTCGGATAGAGAAGGGAGCACCAAATAAAGGGTGGTTGGAGGATCCTCCCAGGAGGGGAGATGCATGTTGAAAGTAGACTATGGACCGAACATGATTGCCACTCAATGCCTCTTTTGCAGACCACAACACCCAAAAGGAGAGAGAACAAAAGGGAATTCCCTGTCACAGAGTCAGGGTGAGATGGGGGGATGGGGGTGGGAGGGATACTGGGATCTGTGGTGGTGGAAAATGGGCACCGGTGGAGGGATGGGTATTTGATCGTTGTATAATCGAAACACAAGCACAAAAATTTGTAAGTCTACAACTGTACCTCATGGGATTTCAGTAATAAAAATTAAAAAAAAAGAAACACCTCCTTCTATGCCAGCACCTAGTTCTCAGAAAGAGCAGGAAAAAGAGAAATCTATACCTTAGGAAATAAAGCAAAGATATTTGCTAAAGAGCAAAATAAGACTGCCAGGCACACGGCAAGTATGTGCAGTCATGTGGGTAGAGAATGCTTTTGGGAAGAGATTGTTAGGTGGAAAAGCCAAGAGAGTCAGCCAAGCTGCCAGCTACTGGGACTTTCTCCACAGGTAGGTAAATTCCAGCAATAAAGTGGGAAGAGGCCAGTATTGAACCCAAGTCATCACACAGATGGGCAAAGAGAGCAGAAGCTGCTGGATTTGTTAAACGGGTACTTCAAGTTGTTAACCACCTTGACAAGGACCCCGTGGGATGAATTGCAGACAAAATAGGTGAATAATGCCAACTGAGTTATAAGGATCTTTGTGTGATATGCCATGGTTATTTCTTCGTCTTCAAAATCAATCACAAATCACAAATCATCCTGTTAATCGTCGATTGCCTCGAGCAGGCCCCAGTAATGTCTCCTTCATCCTAGCCCTGAGATTACATTCAAGGCTCTTTAGGAGAATGAGACCCATCATTGTTACTGGTATTTGGCATATTGGGTACGCCATGGGGAGTTTGCCAGACTCTGCCCTGTGGGCAGGCTACATTCGATAGCCTGCAAGTTTGTCCTTCGTCTTAAGGGCTATAATTCTCTCTCCCTTCCTTGCCCCTAATAATCCACTTCAAAACAACTCTAAGAGGAAACAGAACAAGGTGCAGTCATCAAGTCAGTTTTGTCACGTAACTTTTGAAGTCTTTTGCGATTTACATTTTCTTTGAAATCAGTCTTTTAAAAGGAAAATATGGGGAAATTTTCATTCTTTAATTTTATGCAGAAGATTTCCTCATATGTGGGGTTTATCTGCAAGTTACAACAAAATGGTTTTTAATCAATACTTCAATGTTTTATTCTGGTTAATAATCACTATTTTCTTTTTTATCTCTTTCAGATCTTTCTGACAGTATACTTGATTTACTTCCTTTTTTCCACTTGTCACTGATTTTAATTTCTTTTTCTGGGTTTCTTCGTTTATATTTATAATGTGCTGGTTTTCTCTAGTAGTTCATTTTCTATTCTCTTGTTTACAATGCAGTAACACTTTCCCAGACTGTCAATAAAAATTATTTGAAATTCTTTTAGCCCTGAGATAAATAGAAAGCTATACTTGAATGCTTTTCATATCCTCTGTTCCTTTTACTGACACTTTATCTCTGAACCGCGTTGTTTCATTTCTTAGACATTCAGGATCTTGCCTGAACTAGGTTACAAAGAGGTGATTTGATGAAAGAAACCCAGGTCTGATCCTAGAAGATTTCAAATGATCTGAATGTGTTTGTGTGTGTTTGTGACTCTGTTTCCTCAAATGGAAGATACCAATGAAACACACTTTTAAATCTCTATATTAAACATACAAGATGTCATATTTGATAAAGAGATGAAGGCATGATTTCTTTATAATATAATAGTGTGATTTTATATGAGAATTGGCTGAGAAGGGGCATAGGCTGTCTTCAAACCTTTACCACCTAATTTGGCAATGCCAATTAATATAAAATCAAGATCAATAAATAAGAATATATTAAATTCTATTTTCTTAATTTAGTGTATAATTGATCATATATTATGAACTACATAACATAGAACTCATAATGAAAATGACTTATTTTTATATTACCATATTTCATTTATTTCATATTACCATAATAATTTCTAAACAGTTTATTAATTTCTTTCCATTATTGGTGTGTGCTTTCTATTGATGTGAACTATACTTACATACAGATGCCCCTCTCCGATAGGGGAATTAGTATAGGGAACTGCGTCAGCCTCTCTTGGTGACTTCTCCATTAGATTAGAGGCTATGGAGTGATAGGTACACATGTTCGAGTCCCCAAGGAAGCTGATAGAAAGAAAACAAACTCTCCCAGAGGGGCTTCGGAACAAACACAGTGCTGAAAAATCACTCCTCCAACAGAAAAAGGAAAAAAAACCGTAACATGTTAATGACAATAAAGGAAACCTGAATAGATTTCAATCTGAAGGACTCTATCTGTCAGCCACAAAGAGAAAGTTTGTTTTCCCTATACCAAAACACCGCTTCCAAATGGTTTAGAGATGTACGCTAAATAGACCAGCTCTCTTTGTTTTCTCTGGATCTAAAGAGGCAAGAGGTCAGAAAAATGGAAGGACTGTGGTCCCTCTTAACCCCACTGGTTTCTTTTGTGGGAATATTTACAGAGTCTATCCCAGACACCCTCCCCTGTTAAGGGGTACAGGGAATGAGGTGGGTGGGAGCTGCCCAGAGAGGATTTGCTGGCTCTCCAATGGCGATGTGCAGTGAATCAGCCAAGGATCTTGTGCAAACACAGTTCACTGCTCCAAAGTGCTTAGTTGAGCAGCTCCATGGGGGCCAGAGGGATAGCGCAGGGTTAAGGTGCTGAGCCTGGGTCCATTCTCTGTACTGCATTTGGGCCCTATGGGGGGCAGTATCCCCACATAAAACTGAGAAGTCAAGAAGGGGCACCAGAAATACTTTTTAACACTCCTGGTTAGTACTGATTCTGCTCTGAGACTGTCCTTCACTCCACTTGCTGCCGTTGGTGTAAGTTTTTGCTGCCATAAAAACCCTTTCGTCCATATCAAAGGAAGAAAGCTGATTAAAATGTGTAATTTTTAATAGAATTTTTTTGAGTTTTTTAAATTTAGGTTATGAGAACCTTTTATTAGGGCTTGTTCAAAGTGAGCAATTTCAACCAATTATCACTGCTTCTAAAATTAGATATACTTCTCCTTAGGCCGTGGGTTATTTTCTTCCACCAAATAAATAAACGATTAGACAGAACTTCCTATAAAATGGTGGAAGAAAAAAATCAAAACAAAACCATTTAAAAAAACCCTTGAATATGGATGGGAATTCAATACTTTAGCTTAAACCCTGAAGAAGGGAATTTCAAAATTCTCTTACAACAGAGACTAAATCAAATTAATGCCACATATATTTTCTATGGCGTAGGCATACGTTAGTGTTATCACCACGGCCATATGCGCCTTGGGGAACATAATCAAAAGGTGTCAGCAGGACAGTTTCATTGGCACATAATTTCACATGGGCTGAAACACAGCCAGGCACTAAACACTTGTTTTCTCTGACATGCGAACTTCAATGGACTAATTTGTTCATTAGAAATCTGCAAATTCTAGACATGCGTTACTTAATGTTTTCCATATTTTTAAACAAATGTTCCCTCCAAATTGTTTGACACAGTAACTTTTTCTCCATCGTCATTTAAAATATGACATAAATCATGGACCATGAGAAGCGATTCTTTAAGAGAATGCATTGATTTCCTATTTTTCTGAAATGTCACTGCTTTTATGCAGTGCTGACCCTCCGACCCGGCCCGATCATCCTACTCTCATTTCATTCCATTTTGAGCCCCCGCCTTTCTTTAAAATCTTGGAACTACTCATTTAAATAGCATTTACGACTCAAACAGATGTTCTTCCCGGAGGAAACTGTCCTTCTTTCTCCCTGATTTGCCAGTCGGCCTCAGCTGGAAATTGCATTGTTAAACAAGCAACTTGGGTGACAATTCACTTCCAAAGCAGAAATTGCACTTAACACGGCTGATTTTTGAGTTCCTCCTCAATTATGCGGGCACTTCCAGCCTTTGGGTTTGCAGGGACCCACCAAACTACCATCCATTTTCACCTACCTGAGAACTGAATATATATATATATATATATATATATTTTTTTTTTTTTTTCCTGAAACAGATTAGAAGCTGGCCCTTCCAGCACCAGTGTGGTGGCGGGCTGCCATGCAGATGTGGCTGGCGCTGCTCATTCTGCAATCATGGCAAAGTATCATGCTTCGGTGCCCAGGAAAATGAATGTCAGCTCGTGATGGCTCAGGGCTGGGGGGAGGCCGGGCGGTCTGCTGCCTCACCGCCTTCTCTTTTGTTTCTGTCCAGCCCAGGAACAGCGTCAGCTGATACACAGCGCCCAGGCAGAGAGTCATGCAGCTGTGGACCAGGGGACCAGGGAGGAGAAGCAGCGACAGCAAGACTGCGATGACTCAGGTCACAACTGTCATTGTCACCATCCTCCCCCCAGGGATTGCCAAGTGCCGCTAATGACCATTTTCCAAACAGAAGTCCTGTAGCTGTCAAGTGTCTGAAGGGGGCACAGCCACGGAGTTCCGTGTCTTCTTGGGTTGTTGCATGAGGAGTTGCAGGTGCCCAGGCTAAAGGGCGCGCAGAAGTTTCCAGAAGGAGAATAAAAACACATTAGGAAATCACAGGTTTCTCAGATAAAAATCAAGCTTTTATCCTGCGAGGGCTGCAATCACCAAGGAATCGACACAGAAAGGATGATCTGATCTTTGTAAGGGACCTCAGAGGCCCTTTGGCACAGACTCATTGGGAAAAAAAAATGAGTGGTATTGATCACTGCCCAGGCAAAATAGCTATGACTCAGAAAATCAGCAAGAATCTGTGTTGATCCAAATTGGGCGTGTCACATATATTTTCACCTGCCTCGTCATAAATTCTTTACCGCTTCTTACCTGCCTCTTAGAAATGTCAGGTTAGTTACTGCAAAAATCATCTGATGGTGATCTCTTGCTAGCTATGCAAATAAAGGCAAGTAAATTAAGAAGCCTGATGAAGGGATCTCTTTTACAAAGCAGGGGAATCTATTTTAGTGTTGTCCCCTAATTTTTCAAGAACTTGAATTCAGTGTTATAAATTTCAGAAGGTGCTCTGAAATATTCAAGTGCCTATTAAAAGCACAAAAACCAGTATTGCCATATGAAGTGATTCCAGCTAAACTTTGAATCTCATTATCTCACGTTTTTAAAAAAAATCTCAGGGACCAGAGAAGTAAGGTGCTTGCCTTTCATGTAGCTGACAACTGACCCCAGCACCAGATATGATACCCTGACACTGCCAGGAGTAATCCCTGAGCACTTCGGGGTATGATCCTAAAGCCAAAAAAGAAAGAAAGAAAGAAAGAAGGAAGGAAGGAAGGAAGGAAGGAAGGAAGGAAGGAAGGAAGGAAGGAAGGAGAAAGAGAGAGAGAAAGAAAGAGAGAAAGACAGAAAGAAAGAAAGAAAGAAAGAAAGAAAGAAAGAAAGAAAGAGAGAAAGAGAGAAAGAGAGAAAGAGAAAGAGAGAGAAAGAAAGAAAGAAAGAAAGAAAGAAAGAAAGAAAGAAAGAAAAGAAGGAAAGTAAGAAGGAAGGAAAGAAAAGAAAAGGAAAAATCTTAGGAAGGAAAAAAGTTTTCAGAATATGCACAACTATAGATTCATAACGCATATTAAGGTATATTCATATATACATGTATTTGCAAATATTTAGCTAAAGCAACAGATTTGAAATCTGATGAGGCCTTAGTTCTTATTCTCAGCAAATTATCTTGGTTTTCTTTGGGGGGAAAAATAGGGTACACCTCTGGTGATGCTCAGGGGTTACTCCCATCTCTTCACTCAGAAAGTGCTCTTGATGGTGCTCAAGTGACCATCAGGGATGCTGGGGATCGAACCTGGGTTGGTGTATGCAAGGCAAGTGCCCTCCCTGGTGTGCTACCACCCTGGCCCTGTCTTGGGATTCTGACCCTTAGTTTCCTCTGTTGGGGGTATCACAGTAACTGAGATCAGCGGAAAAAAGACTATGAAGATTTTGGGCAAAGTTGAAATGTTTTAAAAGTCAAATATATTATAATACTTACCAAAATAAATCTGCGCCTATACACAGGACAGAATCTATGTCACCATTTCCTCAATGACTTGTATACTTTCAAACACATCGTGCAAACATGAGTTTTGCACCTTTGAATTCTTTCATGATAACAAGTAGTTTTCACCAGGCTTATATTTCATTTGTACCATTGTCTCTTCTTACACAGCAGTGACACAAAAAATTACTGAGCAGCTGAGCCACCAGGCAATAAAACTGAACCTTCTTCAGAAGAAGATCGACAATATCTCCCTGGCCGTGAGTGAGGTAAAGAACACACACTCTTCCCTGGAAGAAAAAATCAACGACGACAAAGGCGGGGAATTTCAATATTTTCTGAAAGGTAAAGGGAGAATAAATCATTCGTTCAGTTGAGACACAAGACAAATGACTCATTTCTTCAAACATGTTGTGTACACACTGCAGTGAGGTGGCGAGAGAAAACTAACATATTTTTTCATAGGATATTTTTTTTAGTGGTGGGATCTGGGCCACTCCCAGTGATGCTCAGGGGTTGCTTCTGGCTCTGAACTCAGAAAGTACTTCTGTTGGGCTTGGGGGACCATGTGGGATGTGGAGGGATTGAATCCTGGTTGGCTGTATGTAAGACAAATGCCCTAGCCACTATACTATCACTCTGACCCCTCATAGGATATTTTTTTCCTCATAGGATACTTTTAATCAACTCAATATCTTAAATGATTCGAATACTCTAGATATTTTTATTTTGTAGTAGGTTTTTAGTATCTCATCTGATTTATTCACATTGTGTACCTAGTTACAGTCCGACATATTTTCTTTGTAGTTAAAGTGAGCTGTGCTGAACTGCTAGATTATGGTTCATAGCTCAAGAACACACTGGTGAAGGGTGTTGGGGAGGGCATCATATGCGTGAAACTATCATTAACAGTAGTGTAAATCCTGGTGTTTCAATAAAAATCAAAATAAGGAGGAATAGTGGTGAAGTAACTGGGTGACTATTAAGGCAGCTAGATGCATGGACATCTTAATTATATTGAAGGAATCACCGAGGATAAATCTGAGCATTATTATTCCAGAAATTTGCTCTTGAAGTATAATAAAATATATTCCAGAACCCAGGAAGGAAGGAAGAAAGGAAGGAAGGAAGGAAGGAAGGAAGGAAGGAAGGAAGGAAGGAAGGAAGGAAAGAAGGTGACTGCATGATTTATCCCATTCCAGAGGTTCTTGAGGGTCATCGAATATTTCCTGAAAATTTGAAGTTTTCAGAATTTATTTTCTTACAGTTAGGTCTGAGAGCCCAGTTCTGTAGATGTCCACCCCGGCTCTGGAGGCCACTGCATTCCTTGGTCCTTTTCAGGACCTTCTTCCTCCTCGTGGGAGTTTTCAGGGCGTCTCCAAAGCTGGCTTCTGGCTTCCTCTTCCTTATTTAAGTTCTGCTGAAAGCATTCCGACCCCCAGATAACCAGGACAATCTTCAAGTTACTTCCCTAAAGCCAAGCCTTTTTTGCCACATTAGCTAATGTACTCACAGCTCCAAAGATCCAGGGCGTAGAGTCTAAGGGAGGAGGGCCCAGTATGATGATAGGCAGTTCCAGCAAATCAATACAAGGGGAACAGCAAATGTTCTAGAAGGATAATCTATCTCAATTGGAAAGATTTTTTTTTTATCTAAAAGATTTTAGGACTTCCTATTCTGGGCAGGAACTTTGCTTCATAGGATTCATTGGGTTTATTCTTCAACTCATTGGATTTATTGTATGTTTCAAATTTCAGGATTACTGATCTCTTTTGCTTCGTTTTATATGTTTATAAAATGTCATCTGTACAACTTTTTTTTTATCATTCACATTTTTAGCCCTATTTTTCTTTGGTGTTTATAGGTAGACTTTTTTTTTTCTTTTTGGGTCACACCTGGCAATACACAGGGGTTACTCCTGACTCTGCACTCAGGAGTTACTCCTGGCAGTGCTCAGGGGACCATATGGGACGCTGGGATTTGAACCTGGGTCGGCTGCGTGCAAGGCAAACGCCCTACCTGCTGTGCTATCTCTCCAGCCCCTGTTTTGTTTTGTTTTTAAGTTGGAAGTCTCTGTAACATATAACAGCACACCAGAAACTATAATTTTTTTTTTTTGAGAAGCACTGTCCTCTGTAGTTTAGTTGTTCATCGATTTGCTCAAGCAGGCCCAGTAACGTCTCCATTTTAAGACTTGTTATTGTGTTTGGCATATTGAATATGTCACAGGGAGCTTGCCAGGCTTTGCCGTGTGGATGAGATACTCTTGGTAGCTTGCCCGGCTCTCCAAGAAGGGTGGAGGAATCGAACCTGGCTCGGCCGGGCTGGCAGCTTGCAAGGCAAACGCCCTACCGCTGTGCTGTTGCTCCAGCCCAAAAATAAGATTTTTTTTTATCATGTAAAAATTGATGATATTAAGCCATTGTTAAAAGACCATATTGTGCATATAAACCTGTGTCCTCTGGTCAGAGCTCATACACAGGAATCATTGGCGAACATAACTTCCCTGAAGTAACAGTGGAAGAAAGAAATAAAATAGATATAATATATAATTTATTAAAACTACTTTAGTAAATTTTGTTTGGCAACTTTTTAAGCACAATTTGAGAGAATTAACCTATCAGTTGCTTTATCTGAAAATCTAGCACTGACAAAGAAAAAATCCAGCAATTCTGACCGTCAATAGCAACGTTTCTTCCTGAAACATAAAGAAAAAACAATCAGTTATGAAATTCAGAGAGCTCACTGTTAAGAATTAAGAATGCTATTTAATTTTAAATTTTTTTCACTATTTTTATTGAAGTGCTGTGATTTACAATAGTTAATGACCGTTTGAGGCATAAGTTGCCCCAACGCTGCATTCACCAGCAGAGTGCCTATTTCCCTCACCTTTTCCAGGGACCCTCTCACCCTGTCCCAGGGTCCCTCTCATTTCCTCCACCCCCAGGGGAGCTCAACTCTGTAGTTTAGTTGTTCAGAATTGCACCAACCCATCAATACCAACATGCCCACCAACCTCCACCACCAATCCCCACCAAAGCTTCCAGTCTGGTCTTTGTCTCCTCCCTATTCGGTAGTTGATTTTGCATCCCAATATTCTTCTGAGCAGAAACTTCTCACCTAGTCAGAAAAACACTTTTCTGGCAAACCACAGATATCCCTTCTTCACCCTCTAATCCAAGGTGAGAAATCCTTCCTTCTCTGCCAGTAGCCATGGGAACTGCAAAATCAAATGTCCCAACTCGTAAAAGATCTTGAATTTTCTAAATCGGCCATATGTCCATGTGCCAATGAACCTGATAGCAAGCATTTCTGATGAGCTCACAATTATTACACTCTGTTTCCCAAGAAGCAGAAACACATGACTATCATTGAGATAAAACTTAGTTAAAATGGTGATCTCAGTTATTAAATAAAACATTTTGATGTATTATGGTGAAATACATTTCTATCATGAATATTTCTTTAAACAAAGTGTAGTGATTTTTATCTAAAAAGGTTCTTTTTTCTGAAATGAGTTTTTTAACTTGTTAAAAATAATCTGATGTTGACTGGAGCAATAGTTCAGGGAGGGCATTTGCTTCGCACATAAATCTGAGTTGGATTTCCCAGCATCCCATATGGTGCCGTGAGCACTGCCAGAGTAATTCCTGAGTGCAGAGCCAAGAGTGACCCCTGGGCATCACGGGGTGTGACCCAAAAAGCCAAATAAAAAATAGTCTAATGTATTTTAGACATTATTGTGATTTTGCCCAACCTAATTTTTCTATTTTGCAGACTAGGTTTTTCTAACTACAGGGCAGCAACTACTTTTTGCTTTCATTGTTTACTTTTTTTCCCTTTATTTCTTTTTTCAGGAGCCTATACTGTTCTCTCTCTCTTTTTTTCTTTTTGGGTCACACCCAGCAATGCACAGGGGTCACTCCTGGCTCTGCGCTCAGGAATTACCCCTGGCGGTGCTCAGGGAACCATATGGGATGCTGGGAATCGAACCCGGTTCAGCCGCATGCAAGGCAAACGCCCTACCCGCTGTGCTATCGCTCCAGCCCCTGTTCTCTCTTTCAGTGTCATTTTTATTCTGTCATTTTTATCCTGACCTTCACACGATACAAGCATGCGAGCACCCCGGTTCCATCTCAGCATCCTGTGGTCCCCATAAACATCACCAGAGCACAGCACAGCTTTGTTCCCTCAGCCCGACACACACCCAAAAATATAATGCTCAGTACTCAGTAATGCTTGCGGTATAAATCCTTACTGGTTAATTGCCAAGGGAATTTAATGAAACAAAGACACTTTCGAGCTAGAGAAATAGTATGGTGGGTTCAGCATTTGCCTTGAACACAGACAACCCAAGTTCAATCCCAGCAGCCCATCTGGTCCCCTGATCACCGCCAGGAGAGATCCTTGAGCTCAGAGCCAGGAGTAAGCACTGAGCATAGTCACGTGCAGCACCCAAACAAAACAAAGATGCTTTGAAACTTTCTGACATGATGCTTCAAAAACTAGTACTATTTCAGAATACTACTTGTTAGTTATGACTAGTTAGTTTAGCTTCTCCTTAGTAATTTTGTGCTCTGTGTCATTGATTAGTATCCGAAACTTCACATTTTATTTTTTACTTGTACTTTTTATAGCTTCACTATAATTTCACTGATTTTCACTTGTGCTTTTTATAGTTTCAAATATATTTATTTCAATTAGGCTTAGATATACAATGTTCCTTCTTTCTACATTTAGCAGCACTGATCTTTATGACCTAGAATTTCTAGGGAAATATTTGTCCATCTAAACAATATATACAATTTTGTACCAGATTAATTAATAACAAGATATTAAAGCAATGTTCCATTCTCCTGGGTATAATTTCTCTTCTCAATATTGTTCTTATAAGCTTTTCATGCATGTCAAATACTTCTAACACCTTAATCATAAAGCTGATTTTTTTTTGTTTTTTGTTTTTGTATTTTTGTTTTTTGCTTTTTGGGTCACACATGGCAATGCACAGGGGTTACTCCTGGCTTTGCACTCAGGAATTACTCCTGGTGGTGCTCGGGGGACCATATGGGATGCTGGGAATTGAATCTGGGTTAGCCGTGGGCAAGGCAAACACCCTACCCAATGTACTATCGCTCCAGCCCCCAAAGCTGATATTTTAAGAATATAAATTTTTATATTTTAAGAATATAAATTTTGAGGGGCAGGAGAGATTGTACAGCAGGTAGGGCATTCGCCTTGCACAAGACCAACCTGGGTTCCAACCCTGCCATCCCGTATGATCCCCCAAGCACTGCCTGCTGGAATTCCTGAGTACAGAGCCAGGAGTAATCCCTGAGTACCACCAGGTGTGCCCCTCTCCCCAAATAATCCTGCTTTTTGAAGGGACTCATCTAGTGATGACAAAACCTCTTATTTTAGAGTGCTTCATTCACATCACTGTTTCATATTGTAGTCATTATGTTGTTGATACTGTTTTTGGCTTATTTGAATACGCCATGGTAGCTTGCCTGGCTCTGCCATGTGGGCAGAATACTCTTGGTAGTTTGCCGGCCTCTCTGAGAGAGACAGAGGAATCGAACCCTGGTCAGCCGTGTGCAAGGCAAACATTCTACCTGCTCTAGCCCTTGATCCCAAAGTATCAGAGAAAACCACCATATGGGTGTCAAGGATCAAACCCAATTTAGACCCCTACAAAGCAAGAGCCTTACCCTCTGCAATATATCCCCATTCACTGAGTTTTTTCTTCTTATACAAGAGAGTCAATCTAGAATTATGCCATTTGTGTCTATTAACTGAAGTTAGTAGAAGTTTTTTCTTGTCTTTTATCCAGAGAACCATAGTTTAATGATCTACATCACAAAATTAGTTTTTCTTCTTAGCAATATGGATTAGGAAGGTAATCACCTTCTATGAGTAACAATATTTTTTCAACTTTCTTAAGTATAGTCAAGATGTATTTATGATTACATATTATTGCTTGATCTAAAAGCTTGTGTCTTTCTAGAAGACATCTGAACTCATATATAATTAAAATAATTTCTCAATTTTGTTTATTATCTGTCTCCCTAGGTCTAAAATCCAAAAGTTTTAATGATCTAGTAAAGGACATAGTGAAAGAACAATTTAAAACTTTTCAAACTGACATACAAGAGACTGTGGCACAACTCTTCAAGACTGTTTCGCGGGTATCAGAAGAACTTGAAAGCACAAGGCAAACAATTCGACAAGTGAATGAATCCCTGGTTTCAATAGAAGTTCAGCAAAAGTCTCTCATACTGCAAGAAAATAAACCAATTTTGACCGACATACTAGATTTAAAGAAACATGTTGTGAATATAAGACAAGAAATGAATTTTACATGTGAGAAGCCTATGAAAGAACTAGAAGCAAAACAGATGCATCTAGAAAATGCTCTAGAACAGGAACATTTGCAGCGCATTTTGTATTATGAATCATTCAATAAGACACTGTCTGAAGTGAAGGAGGGTTATGATCATCTTTCATCAACTGAACAAGTGTCAGCTCAGAAGAGCGTTCTGGGAACTGAATCAGTGGGCAGTGATGTCTCTGAGGACTTGTCTACTCTACATGAGAAGATACAGAGGCAGGACTTAAGGATGTTACAACTGTTTGATGAAATACAGGTCCAAGACAGCAAGATTAACAACCTCACCATCTCTTTGGAGATGAAGAAAGAATCTGTCAGGAGTGAATGGGAAAACAAGTTATCCAAGCACAGAAGTGATTTGGAAATGCAAATTAGGGAATCAGAAGAAAACATACAAGTTTTAAACCAAACTTTGGTTGAGGTTGTCTTCCCAATGGACAAGAAGATGGAAAAAATGAAAGAGCAAATAAATGATTTGATTTATGATATGGAGATTCTTCAGCCTCTTCTTGAGCAAGGACCATCTCTTAGACAAAGAATAACAAACGGGCAATCAAAAGAAGATGCAGTTACAAGGAAAAAGTTGGACAATCTGACTGGTGCTGTGAATACTTTAAATTTTCATCTCAAAGAACTTTCAAAAAACCACAACTTGCTTAGAAGTGAAGTACAGAGTCGCAGTGATTCCTTAGACAGACGTATCAATGACTATGCCTTAGAAATGGAAGATGGTCTGAATAAAACAATGACAATTATGAATAACGCTATTGATTTCGTTCAAGATAACTATGTGTTAAAAGAAACTTTCAGTACAATACAGACTAATTCTGGGGTTCATCATGAATGTAACCAAAATATGAAAACGATTTTGACATTTATTTCTCAATTCCAACATCTGAATGATTCCATTCAGATTTTGATCAATGACAATCAACGATACAATCTCATCTTGCAACTTGCCAAAGCCCTTGCAGACGTTCCTAAAGATGAGAAACTAAGTGGGTTCAGTTTTCAAAAGATTTATCAACTGTTGAATGAAACTACTTCCCAGGTGATAAAATATCAGCAAAATGTGAGTCATTTGGAGGAAATAGTACTCTCAGCCACAAAGAATTCAACTAGGTTTGAAACGAGATTACAAGACATTGAGTCCAAATTGACGAAAGTGCTCATACCTTATTATGTTTCACTTAAAAAAGTCAGTGAGGCTACGAAAGAGAAAGACCAGGCTCTTCAGCTGCAGGTGTTAAGTTCCAGATTTAAGGCGCTGGAAGCAAAATCCATTTACCTTTCAGTTAATCTCTCTTTGCTTAACAAAACTGTCCATGAAGCTCTGATGATGTGTCATGATGCTTCTGCACAGACATCAGAACTGAATGCTACCATCCCTGAGTGGATAAGAGGCTCCCTACCAGATATTCAACTTTTCCAGAAAGATATGAGGGAATTTGTGGAATCAGTCATTGAAATGAAAACTCAAGTTGTTCTATCTAATTTAACCTGGTATGTAAATCGATCGTTGTCTAGTGGTCTCGTCAACCCTGTCAAGTTCCAAAAGCAATTCAAACCGTTCATGAAGAAACCAAACACGCTTAAGAAATCAACGGCGAATCTTACTACCATCTTAACAGGTCGGACCCAAAGAAACACAAATGACATTCAATTTCCTGGTAAGCTACTCCTTCCAATAACTTTCAATCTTTCCTTTTATTTTCTTTATTTATTTTGGGTTTGGGCCCCACTCAGCAGTGCTCAGGGATTAGTTCTGACTGTGCACGGAGGGATCATCCCTGGTGGTGCTTGGGGAACCATATAGAATGCCAGGAATTGAACCCAGGTTGGCTGCGTGCGAGGTAACCATCCTAACCACTGTGCTACCATTCCGGCCACCATTTGCTCGAGCGGGCCCAGTAACATCTCCATTTTTTTGAGACTTTTTGTTACTGCGTCTGGCATATTGAATACGCCATGGGTAGCTTGCCAGGATTTGCAGTGCGGGCGAGATACTCTTGGTAGCTTGCCGGGCTCTCCGAGAGGGGCGAAGGAATCGAACCTGGCTCGGCCAGGCTGGTTACACGCAAGGCAAACGCCCTACCGCTGTGCTATCGCTCCAGCCCCCGGCCACCATTAATCTCTTTTTATTTAATATAAATAAATTTAATTTAAATAATATTTTGTAGATCTATACTATTCAGCAAGACCATAAATAAGAGTGCTTATTGAATGTCGGTGTTCAGGTCCTTCAGACAGCAGTGATATATTATTGGAATCTGATTCTATCTTTTGAATTTAGACATCAAGTTAAGTATTGAAAATACAAACAGTATTTGTCTACATATTTTTAACCTTTGTTTTCTGTCAGAATCATGACAAAACTATCAAATTTGCTCCCGTAGGATGTTTTTCTTTGCATACATCATTAAAGACATCAATTACCAGTGAGCTCCTTGATGAATAAGACCCAACTGCATTACCTAAAAAATGTTTGGTATGCAATAGGAATTAAATTTATATCTATTTATATGATGATGCATAAGTGAACAGAAATTAGAATTGATTAGGTCCTAGGAGACCATGAATAGCAACGAAAGCATCTTAGTCCATTCTAACTATAACTAAACATCACTGATTGAGCAGCTTATAAACAATCAAAATTTATTTCTCACCATCTGGAGGCTAGAGTCTAAAATCTTGGTGCCAGTCTGAATGTTTCTGATGAGAATGTTCTTCCTGATTCATAGCCAGTGCCTGGCACGGCAGAAGAGGCGAAGGATCTCTCTGGAAACTCTTTTGTGTGAATATTAATCCAAGTATTGAAATCTCTACCCTCATGGCACCTTTCAAAAGCCCTCCTTCATATCATCAGCTTTGGGATTGGGGGACTAGGCACAAGAAGGTGATAGCACTGAGACCTTTCAGTCTGATTTTGTAAAGATCTCGGAACACTGGAAGCAAGTATGATCAAACTGTGTCTTAGAAAACCATGCTCTGAGGACGGGGAATACATTTGGAAAAACCAGTAAGAACATTAATAAATGGATCGTGGCAAGAGCAGTGCCAGACACAGCTAGGGAAGAGGAAGTTGAAACAGAGACAGATGTGAACAAAGTAAAACACACAGAAACCAAAAAAAAAAAATAGTGGATCTGAGATATGACACATCATGGTTCTGCTTCTCCTATTCTGGTAAATGTGAAAACTTGAGTAGGATGATCTCCACATGTCAGTTCCTTTCTGTTAAGTGACATTATGGCAATAGATATCTTACTGATCCGATGAGTAAATTCTGTCATCAACTGCATCCCTGTAAAAAACACAGTGGGCAGCTCACAGCCTGAGGCAGCATTTCGGGAGGATAGACACCTACAATATTCTAAGACTTTGAATAAGGGAAATAAACCTTAACAGAGAGCATAAACATGAGAGAAAAGAGCAACTCTGTATGGCGCATGCTGAGTACTAACAATCTGGGTTAAAGAAATGCTTCGATGAGTGTGTTGGCCATATCAGTAATATGAAATAATATTTTAACAATGCAAAGAATAGCTACCTCATCTTGACTATAAGAAATGGCTGTATTCTCCAGCATTCTATTAAACGTTATCCCTTTAATAAAAAATGGGCTGGAGCAATAGCTCAGTGGGTAGGGCGTTTGCCTTGCACATGGCCAACCCAGGTTCAATTCCTACGTCCCTCTCTGAGAGCCCGGCAAACTACCGAGAGTATCCTGCCTGCATGGCAGAGCCTGACAAGCTGCCCATGGCGGATTCGATATACCAAAAACAGTATCGACAAGTCTCACAATGGAGATGTTAACTGGTGCCTGCTCGAGCAAATCGATGAACAATGGGAGGACAGTGCTACAGACAGTTTCTTGACTGAGGTATCATAATCCTAAATGGTGACTTTCCACATTTTATTTATTTATTTTTACTTTATTTAAATACTATGGTTTATAGAGTTGTTCCTAATAGAGTTGTCATGGGCTTTTGTTGTTCCAGCCCCAGACCCACCACCTGAGTGACCTTCCCTCCACTATTCTCTTCATTTTCCCCATCAACCCCAAGCCTCCCCCCCTTAGCAGACACACAATCATTTGTTTTGTATTCGTTGTTACAACCAAATGACTATAGTACTTCCATAAAAAAAATTGTGATAATTGTTATATCTCATCTTTGTCTGAGGACTTACTAAGTTGTCCATTGCTGCTTGAGCCTTCTGTGTTATTGCTTGTTTTTGTTGGCTTCTACGTTATTTTCTTACTCACTTTGGTGCGCTCCTAGTGCAATTTCAGTCCTGCAGAAGTTGTACGTATCTGGGCCTCGCAATCCAGAGTTTCAGGACCTGTAGGACTAGGATTCGTCAGCAGAGATTCTGAGTGAACCCGTGAAGCTAGGCCACAGGCTGTTGGTCTGATGGCAGCAGTGGCACATGGGCACAGATGCCAGGCAGGTGGAGAAAGAGCCCCCCTCCCTCTCCAAGGGCACCCCAGAGTTTTCAGCCGATATAGAGGAGTGCAGCATGCCCATGAACCACAGCTGCCAGGCTGGCATCTTCTCAGAGATTTAAGTCATGAATCTGAAGAGCAGGGCTGGTGGGTGTCACATGTTTTATTTTCAATATTTCTATAATTTGGACTGGAGCGATAGCACAGTGGGTAGGTCGTTTACCTTGCACGTGGCTGACCCAGGTTTGATTCCTCCGTCCCTCTCGGAGAGCTTGGCAAGCTACCGAGAGAATCCTGCCCACACGGCAGAGCCTGGCAAGCTCCCTGTGGCGTATTCGATATGCCAAAAATGTAACAACAAGTCTCACAGTGAAGATGATGCTGGTGCCCTCTCGAGCAAATCGATGAAGAATGGGAGGACTGTACTTACAGTGGCTACTTCTATCGTTTAAAAAATCATAGCAATATTTAATCAGAACTGAAATACCTCTTGACTGTTTACGTTTCTATTTATTTTGTCAGAAGAGTTTTTTTTGGAAGAAAAAGTTGAGAATGATGTGAGGAGAGAAAAAGTGAAAGATGTGTAGTCAAGAGAGAACAAGGGCTTGTCCAGAAGGGTCAAAGCTGACCATAGATGCTTCTAAGACAGTATATTTTTTTCCTCCACATTAATCTAAATCCAGGGGAATAATATTTCCACATAAGACAAATCAGTTAAACTTATGTATTTCCAAGAGAAAGTAGGTTTGTCGATACCAGATATTCTTATAATAATATTTTAAAGGAAACATAATGGAGTTTTCCTCACACTATTTTAATCCTTTGTCTTCCTGTGAACAGTGAAAATTAGTTTTAGTTAAGCTCCACAGCATGTGTGCTCAAACACCAACTCCACCATACCATGTCATATTTTTATCCTAAACAACAACCAAAAAAAAACCAAACCTGAATGTATGTAGTAAGCTTAAAATTTAAATTGTTTCAAAATTAATTGAAATTAAAGGTTTAATAGGACATTAGAAGTACTAAGCTCTCGTAGTAAAAAGAACGCATATCAGGAGCTCATAATGGCACCTAGGTACTTTTATAGCAACGGAATAGACATTGGAGTTAATATGCTAATAACTCGGCCTTAATGATTTGTTCCAATTATGCCTTATAGAATCATGTTCTGTTTCTTTATAGCGCATAAGTAGAATTTTATAGCCAACCTAAAAACATAAATAATTAAAAGTTTTAAAACCTTTTATTTCATTTAGATAACCAATAGCCATGTCAGGTTAATAAAGATCATTGGCTTAGTTTCACGTATGGAGATAGATATTCTTTCTTTTTTTTTTTAAATTTTTGTTAGTGAGACACCATGAGGTACAGTTGTAGACTTACAAATTTTTCTTGATAGACAAGACCAAGAATAAATGTTGGGGCCCTTTTAAGTAGCCATAATTAAACAGCACATGAGGGGGCTGATGTCTGATGATCCTCACTGAATAGCTAAACAACGATATCTCTAAATTCTAGATAAGGCAGTCCAACCAGAAGACTTGAGTAGTTTTGCTACTGTTAGAAAAAGTGACTAGCAAAATAAACTATTTTCCTTGCTAGCTAATATTATACGAGTGGTGAAACACTTGACAAACTGGCTAAATTTGGTTATTTCATTTGACCTATAATTTTTGTTGTATTAGAAATACTGTAATAACCTTGATCTTCACATAGGAAATATAGAAGTTGGTAATACTTTTTATTAAACGAATCTTTCACTCTAACATTATATATTTTGAAAATGAATTATAGATCTATATTTGTTTACACAACATTAATATATTCATATTACAGCTGTTATGACTTGTGGAATAACTGAATTAGTACCACAACAGCCACTAAAACGTTGTTTTTCTAAATTAATCTTGTCACTGTCACTGTTCTCCCATTGTTCATCGATTTGCTCGAGCAGGCCCAGTAACGTCTCCATTGTGACAATTGTTACTGTGTTTTGCATATCGAATATGTCACAGGGAGCTTGCCAGGCTTTGTGGTGCGGGCAAGATACTCTCAGTAGCTTGCCGGGCTCTCTGAGAGGGGCAGAGGAATCAAACCTGGGTCGGCCGAGTCGGCAGCATGTAAGTCCTACCCACTGTGCTATCGCTCCAGCCCTTGTTTTTACATATTGTTTTTAATACTGTACCCTGGGCACTATACAAATTATACCCTAAGTGTTAC